TGGGCTAGTAATTGATAAACACGCAAAGGTGTCCTATGCAAGTGTTCCCACATAATAATCACTCAAAGTTATATACACTAATTAATTTTCATGTCCCTTTCCAATTACCAATTCATCCATCATTCACACAAGAAATCTAATTTCTTATTCCAAACAATTTAATGCTACTTTTGCTTACGGTTTATAAACAAATATCTTATTTTCATTTCATTTGTCAAAATCCTCATGTTTAACTTGTTATCAGATGTGTAGACAGGTTGGGACCGTTTGGGTCTAGGGTCGAGTAGTCCATGTACACTGGGACCTCCACCAGTTATGAAGCAGGGATTATTGCCCCTACCTACTTATCAAATGATCCATGATAGTTAGGATATGAAAATTGACAATTTCTTTGGATCATGATTGGAATAAGATTATGGAATTGGATTTGATATATAGTGAGATTCGAATTATTAGTCCTTGAATACAAGGATTCCATTGTTTGCATTTAATTCTTATTATAATAGAGGGTTGCTTTTCTCAAACTCTTATAGCCAAGTATACTTACGAGTCAAATTCGAATAGTTAAGTATTCGGCTCGATTCGATTCGAATCCACTCTTATCCTAATGGCAGTGGGATTTGATGCTATGTCTTCTCTACAATGAGTCAGAAATTCTACTAATTGAACCACCATCAATTAGAAATTTCCATAAAACTGTTGAAACTGTTGGATGATCAGAATTTAAGTCTAATTTCTCCCTTAAGTTTAAAATTAATTTTAATGACTGTAAGTTTCTCATATGTATCACCAATAATCAACTGTCACAAACCAATACTCAATTACAATAAGTTTTATAGATTCATGTAGCCGACCCATATAATTTTGACAACGCTTTGATAACGATGACCCAAACATTAATTAATACAAATTATTACAAACCTATAATTAAATACATAAATTGTCATTATCATCCAAACCTTACCCCAATTATATGGGGTCGGCTAGCTATTAAGCTTATATTCAAATGTCACAAACTATTATAAATTCATACTCAACCATTATAAATTTACACACTTTTTAACCTTTGTTTTTTCAAAAATTTATAATGTGCCAATAAAAAGAAAAATTGTAATTATAGTAGGAAGAGAGTTAATAAGAACATAGGAAGGTGCATCACTTGAATTAAAAGACATGTTCCATGGGTTCCATGGGACCCATTTAAAACATTAAAACAAAAGTCTGTTGCCTTTCAATGGGTCCCACCATTATATTTGCTGACATTTAATTCAAGGTGATGCACATGGTTGTCTCTCGTTCTATCATGCATGAGATGCCAACAGGCAATTCATCAGCTGCTGGAGCAACCTCACAACAAACATTTGGGACCCATTAAATATGTCTTGTAACCCAATCTATTGGCATTTATTAATTACGGTATAAAGTAGATACCCCACTTCTTCATTTGCTTGGTTTGCATATCAATAACAGATATGAAGCCAAAGAACCTTAATATTAAGGTCGTAGGATCTGTATTGCAGTATGCTTTTTGGATATATGAAGATATATGTATGGATATTTTAATGAAGCACATTAAATCTTTAATATATATTGATATTATTGAATTTTAAGGCTTGAATTATTATTAATATAGTACAAGTAAATATTATGTAGCTTAATAGTTTATGTGAAGTGTAAATGTTGGGAAATGGTAGAAGAATTTTCTGTTTTTTGAGTTAGAAAGGTTTGAATAAAATCTTGATTTACAGTAGTCTCATCGACAGACAAATCAGAATTAAGCAGAAGAAAAATACAAGAGGGAGTGTCACTCACCCAAAGGTAATGATCATTGATATCAATTTTAGTAAGCTTATGAGAAACATGGTTGAAGTTCAATCCTCTTGACATGATAAACCAAGACTGAATCACAAAGCAGAGGAGAAGTTGCCTGCGGTCCATATAATATATGGGTGTACGGACCACGGTGAGAGGGAAGATTCCTCCAACAGGCATTGGATAGGCTTCATAGCATCTCCTTCTAAGATGATTTTCGGAGACCAAGCAATATGGCCAACTTGAATCCATAGAGAAGAGCTTGAGATTCCCCCACAAGAGAAGAGTGCTGAGGAATACAAGCCGCTAGGCTAGCCACATTATTAAAGGAATCATGGAAAACAAAACTCATTGTGGCTTAGAAATACTAGTGTTAATAATTAATTAATGTTTTTTTTTGTTTTCATAAATTAATTTTATTTTTTAAAATACTAAATTTGGTGATCAATTATTTGTTTTCTTTTCTCCTAATTTTCTGGTTGATATGGTTTCCTGTTCCTCAACTTGCATTGGCAATTTCTCCAAATAATATTGTTCATTCAAAAATTTTAAGTTTCAGTATATAAAGTTCATCAACAAAGAAGGACTTATTGTGTGCATACCGCAAGGGGGATTTGAGCTGAAATTGTCCCTTCAACAAAGGCAGATGAGAGGAACATGCAGGTCCCATTTGGGCTACCAGACTACTTTTAGTTAGAACATTTCTGAGACATTATGGAAATTAAAGCTCGCTAAACAACCGGACCAACAGACCTAGTTCTGGTATATGGTCTGTTTCAGACTACAAAGTGGGCAAAAGGAGGGGACCTTGAAAAGAGAGAGAGTTCTGAAGTTGGTCACTAGAATTCTGGAGTAACAGACTGCTGTAGTTCTCCAATGGTGGAATTCTGGAGCAACAGTTGGTGGAAAAGAGAGAGAAAGAGACTAAGATTGTATTTGGCAATGTTTTTAAAATTGAATCAGTGGTTTTTGGGGAAATAATAGTTATGGGGTAAAACGGAATTGATCACCTGACTGCTTCCCTGTTTTTCGGTTTGACCATCCGGTTTGATCTGATTTTGAAAACCATGATATTTGATATCATTATTATTTCTTCATGAAATATTTGAAAGAAAGAAAGAGACTAAGGTTGTATTTGGTACCATTTTTATTTTTTCATGAAACATTTGAAGTTGATTAATAGAAATTGATGTTAAAATAGGACTTGTTATGTCACATGCATAATCAGAAACCTTTTGGATTAATCTATATAAATTGTTGTTACAGCAATTATCAGTCCCCACATATACATTTTTTTTAGTTGAAGTGACTCCATAATGTTACAATTCATCTTTGTCAGATCAAATTCTATTAATCAACCCCAAAACATTTCATGAAAAACTGCAATTGTATTTGTACCAAATACAACCTAAGTTTGGGAGTGAGGGGGAATTAATTCGGGTTCCCTCATTTAAACAACTTTTGGTCCCCTTATTTTGGGTTAGACTAAGGTGGATGGGTTGAGGTTGAAGTTGGGCCAACCAGGTCCCTATGGACTTCGGACTTTTGCCAAGCAATAATCTTAGGGTCTGAACACAAATTCATACATTTGCATGTAGTCATCTGAAATCGGCTATTCTTAAAAGCTTCATTTGTTGACAATGCAATTTCAGATACGTATGAGAATGTAAATTCTGATTTATTCTTGTTTGGGGTTTCACTTTAACTTGATTTAAGTTTTATTTTACTTTGCATTGCAAATAAACAAAACAAAGTAAAGTTTATAACTAAAATTAAATTTTCATTCAATTCATTTGTACTTTCATGCTTTTGCACCAGTGCAAATGAAATGTCTATAAGCACAAATTCTAGACCTAGTTATAATGGAGTCCAATGTTTTCGGACTTGCTAGAATCTATATTAATATTATAGAGCTGGGCATGTTAATGTCTAGTTAATCCGTGACTCCCCTACTTGTTCTAATTAATCAAGTGGGTGACACTTCCATATAACCCTTACCTATGCACATTTTATATATCCTACCCCAGATCTGATCACCTCTTTCCATTATTTCTTTGCTTATTTTCATTATTGGCTAAAGAATCTAATTGTATTTTGGACAGTTAACTTGTGCAAGTAACTCTATTTTTATTATACTATTTTAATTTTTTTTTGTACAAATCCTTATCTCTCATACTTTATTATATACTAAAGAATCTTGGTTGATAATTGTAATTTGTAATTAAGAGAGAGAGAGAAAGATTGGGTGTACGCTTTGAACATGAATGACAGCACACGTGTAAGGTTATTAATTTATTGACTCAATTACTTAAAAAACAAAAAAAAAAAAGAGGACCCACATGATGAATGATGATGATTGTGATATTGCATGTAGCACTCATTACCATCTATCTTAAACCATGGAAATGGTAAGCCACCATGTCTCAAAGGGTTTGGTTCGGGGTTGTCTCAACTCTCAACTCTCAACCGGAAACCAATTCAACCCGTTGAAATGAAGAGCAATGTTTTTGAACCGCCATTTATCCAAACGGTTGAATCATCGGGAAATTGAACCCAATCCTAATCCAATCGGTTCAATGCGGGTTTAATTAGCACATAACTCGACCCACTGCTACACTTGTTAGCAGGAACCGTCCTATTTCTTTCTGTTTGTTTAATAAGAGGATGGATTAAGTGATTAACAATAACAACATGATTAATCATTTCATTCTAAGCCATCATTAATTTATTGAAACTTTCGCTTTCCCTCACAAGTGGAAGCAGACCAAAGAAGCGGCACCTCCTCGTGCACTCCATTTCCCATGGACCACCATCATTTCATTCGTCACTCAATGTCACCACACCTACTATATCTATTTCTCCCATTTATATCTCTTTCATGCCCTCAACCACCTCTTCCACTCCTCAGCAATAAAAATTTCATTTGGGGTCATAGTCTTATTAAAACCAAAAACCCACCCATCAATCACCCCCATTTATTCATAATTCCCATGTTTTAGGTCTAGTCTAGATTACATGATCTTGATCCTTTTGTGCCATACAATACATACTGATTCCAAGAAACAACTCCTGGCCCACAAATTCAACGGTGGGGTATTAAAGCAATAAAGCTTGCATTTAGCTTTGTGGGCCCTCATGTTGCTTTGCATTGCCTCATGTATAATCTCAAGGTCATCAGTGCCATCCCCATATACCTCCATAGTCGCCCTTTTTATTGGCAAACCTCCCTCCATCATCCTCCCCTTGTCTGCCTCCTCAGGGAGCCCCTTTTCTCTTCATTCTTCTTCCCCCCTTCAGACTCTACAGTCCATACACAGTCTCAGTCTTCATATATCCTTCTCTTTCTCTTCACTCTGATCGACCCATGATGAAACCAGAGGAGATAAGCCTGCGGAGAAGCAGCAGCAGCTGCAGAAGCACCCGAAGGATTCTTCCGTCGAACTATATAAGATCGACATCATCACTTTTACCAGACAGAGGCGACGTTCCCGAGAAGCATCTATTGAGAAACAACTCGGCCTTCAGCCTTCAAAGACTCAACAAAGCCCGAAACATGGTGGCCATCATCCGCTCACTTCTCGGCGTGATCTCTCTCTCCACCTTAATTCCCACATGCCGGTGGCTCAGCTTGCCTTCCCGTCTTTCGTCGTCACCGTCGTTAGGCCGCAAAGTCACCGGGACTCTCTTCGGCCACAAGAAGGGCCATGTCAGCTTCGCAGTGCAAGAGGACCCACGATCTGAACCGGTTCTACTACTAGAGTTACCGACCTCGACGTGCTCTCTGGTGAAGGAGATGTCCTCCGGGTTGGTCCGGATCGCGCTTGAGTGTGAGAAGGGGTCGGCCGGCGGTGGTCGGTCGGGGAAGCTGTTCCAGGAACCGGTGTGGGCCATGTACTGTAATGGTCGGAAGTGTGGCTACTCGGTGTCCCGCACCTGCGGGGACTCTGATTGGCAGGTGCTTAGTACGGTTCAGACTGTTTCTGTCGGTGCCGGTGTAATTCCGGAGGAGAAGTGCGAAAGCAATAACGCAGCAGAAGGGGAGCTTATGTACATGAGAGCAAGGTTTGAACGAGTCGTGGGTAGCCGTGACTCGGAAGCTTTTTATATGATGAACCCGGACGGTAATGGCGGACCGGAACTAAGTATCTTCCTGCTTAGAATTTGAGACGCGTGTGAACTTTCGACTCTGATCATAGCAAGCTTTACATGATTGTTTTGTAATACTTTTGTAACTTATAATTGCAATCGCCTATCTTCTGCTTTGAAATCTTGTGCTTCGCCCATACTGAACAGAAATACCAGATCACCCCTCTCCCCGTCACTCACGCGCAAAACACGTGCACTCAGAGGAATGTCAATCTGTTGTATATAGACTAATGTTTCACAAAAAAAAAATTATTAGACTAGTGAAGTTTACCTCTAAAGCTGTGTTTGGTTTGACAGAAAAAGAAAAAAAAAGAAATTTAGGAAAAACTTTTAAGAAATTTCACAAAATTTGTTAGGAACTTTGCCTCAACCTTTTTTTTCTCTCTTACTTTCTATCCAACTAAATGCAATTTGGGCTGAATTAACCCTAACCTAAACTGATAAAGTTGGATTTATTGAAATTTAGATCAAGGCTAGGGTTGAAAAGGGTTCGATTATGATATCTTAAAAAACTTATATAACAAATTAGGTGGTATTCATCAAAATTTATTAGGGTTTGAATGACCAAAGTTCTTCTATAAGTTCCAATGTCATACCTTTTTGGCATCATAGATTTATCTAGGTTAAGGTCTAGGAGTTAGGTTAAAGTCTAGGCCTTAACCAACTCAAATTTAACATATATATTTTTATGTATGTATAAGTGTGTATATTTATAATATATGTTGTGCGTTTATGCTAAAATCACTACAACTTAGACCATCCATCTTTAGTTTAAGAAATAAGAACACTTTAGCCAAAATCCCTGGACCTTTTGAAAGCAAAATTCATGTACATGCCCTAAGAGCACAACATCCAGCTACACGTTAGGAATATTTATCGATATGTGGCTGAATGCCTTGCTCTTAGGTGTATTTACAAGTTTTGCTTTTAGGATATTTTGGTGATGTTTGGCATTGATGCCGATTCTTCCTTAACCATATTTTCAAAAGATTGGTGAGTTTTGTTGTTTGGTATCATTTCTGCGTATAAATCAATTTTTGAGAAATTAAGGGGATGTTTGGAACCATAGTCGTTTTCAAAAAAACGGTGCCACGTCGGGTCCATATAAGTGTTTCAACAAACGCCCATGTATTTTTTTGTTTGGTTCATCCGATTATTAAAAAATCAGGCATGCCTTGAAAATCGGGACCCTTCGAAAATTGGAACCCCACAAATTTGGCGTTTCATGCATCGGTGAACCGTTTCCCCCAACGATTGACTGATGTGTATCCTATGTGGTGTTTACCTATCTGGCACATACATGAAAAACGGTGATGAAAATCACCTTACCAAACAGTATAGTGTTCACTGCCTACATGGTAGAAGCGTTTTTTTTGTGAAAAATGGATCTTAAAAGTATGGATGATTTTTTTTTTTTAAATCGGTCCCAAAAAACATCAACACTTTAGCTTTTCTGCTTTTTGAGTCTATTTGATAGTGACTCAATAGTCTCTATGAGAAAACAGAATACTGAAAACCAGGGAATAATTGAAAATAGTGATCCTTAAAAAAGAGCTGATTTCAAAAATCGATTTTTTGTTATTTCCCAAAAATCACCAAAATACCAAACAGAAATTTCAGTATCAATTCCACTAATGCTGATGTGGCTCTAACATGGCATTAATTTTCAAAAAAAATGGCATCTATACCAATTACCAAACATCCCTTGGACTCCACCCCCAAAAGAAGTAAGGTTAGGTTAAGGTTAGGATTGGGAGTTGAACTACTCACATTAGATTATGGTTGACTTCAATCCGAGCCTGACCCTAGCCCTATTTAATTCACAGATGTGCTATACTTGCACGTGCGGGTCTCACTGGATTGTGCAGAGAATAAATCAATAAAATTGGAAGACCATAGCCCTATCCAAGAAGCCAAAAAGAAGTCAGAAGTGTGGGAGTACCCACGCAAGAAATGTACATATTCACGTATTTTAAAGTCAAAAACAGCTATATTGGTCAATGGTCATGGCATCCAACAGACACCACCATGCCATGGAAGATCTGGACAATACTTTTGGTGTCTCTATGAAACTCCGGTTTTTGGCACATATATATACGTAGATTTTGGTGATGCACAGGTCCACGTTGAAGATGGTATATTTGGGACCCACTAACCAATGGTCACAGATTGAAGATGAATAAAAGATTGGAGTGGAGACAAATCAGCTTACATATGATATGATTTCGTTTTGGAGACATGATTTGGATGGGAGATTAGGGGGATGTTTGCAACCGTGGTCGTTTTTTAAAAAAACGGTGCAAAAACATCGGGCATGTCTTGAAAATCGGGAATCCATCGATGCATGAAACATTAAGTTTGGTTGGTGAACTGTTTCTCCCAACAGTTGACTGATGTGTATCCTATGTGGTGCTTACCTGTTAGCACATGAAAAACAGTGATGAAAATCACCTTACCAAACAGCATAGTTTTTCTCACTGCTTATATGGCAGAAGTGTTTTTTTTTTTTGTGAAAGGTCTTGAAAGTATGGATATTTTTTCTTGAAAATCGGTCCCAAAAAGCACCCATACTTCCAAACACCATGTAAATTAGAAGTTCTATTTTACTTCTTTTTGAGAGGCTAGCAGAAGAAATATTGCATAAATCAACGTTTTTTATATCAATGGAATAGTTTCAAGTCATTTGATTTTTAAGATTGAAAGAAAAGTACAAATATAATTAGATAAATAAATATATATATATAATACAAATACATAAAAACAATACAAAATGTAAGTTTTTAATATTTTATATACTTGTATTTGTACTTCTTTTCAGTATAAATACAAATATGTACAGTATAAATATATACAAATAATATAAAATACAAAGTTTCACACACTCTACATTTGTACTCCTTCCGAACTGAGATTAAAGAAATATCAGTCATAGTACCGTTGCAAACAGTATCCATTTGTTTGAATCCAATTTTGATTTGATTTATAAATATATATAGTCACATGTACTTAAAATTTACATTTTATCCATTTGTAAAGTTGATTTGAATGTCATGTTTTTATTAAATTGTCATAGGTTCAAGTTCCATACATATCTTTTATTCATTTTGTTCATGAAATAGAGTATAGAAGTCATCTTAATTCATTTAAATTAATAATAGGGTCATTTATTAGAGCACGTCCTATAGTTTCACAGATTTACTTGAATTTACCCTATAATTTGTATTTTACTAAAACACCTCTTATAGTTTATAATCTATTTACTTAATTGACCCTTTATTGAGAACTCTTTGTTTTGCCATTTGAAAATAGTAACATGATCACTTAAATTAAGTGGAAAATGTTTAAGGGCATGAACCCATGGTTGTTTATTCCAAAAATACCTCTAAACTGAGTGAAAAATGTTCAAGGGTATGGATCCAAGGTTGTTTATTCCAAAAGTACTCCTAACACTTTTTTGAATAGAAAACAAAATTGATCAAATAGATAAAATAGAGTGGTTGTTTGTGTTTTACTAGGGGCAAAAATGGCATTTTTGTTTTTACTTTATTTCGATTAAATTTATTTGAATGGTTGTTAGGGTTCAAACTATCATTTTCCACTTTCATCTAATGGATGGTCGATTAAGTAAACAGATTGCAAACTAAAGGGGATGTTTTAGTAAAATACAAATTATARGGTAGGTTTTAGTAAATTCATGAAACTATAGGGGGTGTTTAAGTAAATGACCCTTAATAATATATGATACTTTAAACATTTTTAGTTTAATTTATTAACACCATTCAATATCCGATAGTGATATGAGTTCTATTCAAATCTAATATAAATCCAATGGATATGATCTAATTCAAATTTGAATAAAAACCAATCAAGTTTGGATCTACTTATTCATTGAATCCATTTATAATCCTAAATGTCCTTGGCGGGGACATTCCCTAGCTTTTTTGATATTTGTAGATCTCTACATTCTGTTGTAGATCACTCCTTATTTATGTTGGCTATCTCATTTGACTCTACTCAACCTTAGATAGGAGTAGGGGTGTCAATTGGATTAGATTTGGTCCAATCCGATCCAGTTCAATGTGAGTCCATTATAAATAGACCAGGTCCAATCCAATCTAATGAATGTTTTGGACTAATTTGGACTGGTCTAATTCAATGTCTAGATTGTCTAATATGTTCAAATTCATTTTGATTAGATTGGTTTCAACCCAAACCCGGTCCATTGATATATATTCATATCTTATATCGATGGACCAAATATTGGCTTAATTCAACCCAATCCAATATAAATTTGTAATGGATGGACCAGGTCCAATCCAATCTAATAAATATTTTGGACCGGATTGATCCAATCCAATATGTCTTGTTGGTCCATCCAATCTGTCYAAATTGATTTTGGACTGGACGTGGTACAATCCAAAACCGCTCCATTGACACCCTTAGATAAGAGCTCCTCGCATTGTAAGCTGTAACTAATACCATTGGTGTTTCTATCCGAAATATTTTGGGTGATCAATACAAATTGGTGAGAGAAATGTATTGTCACATCAGATAATGAGAGCCACTTCAGCTAGAATGATTAATACACCATTGCAGTCTACCTGAAACATCAATTTGAGGTTTCTACAAACAGCTTCCAAATAATGCATTTTAAGATGTATATCAACTATTAAAAACCTCAAAGCTCAAATAATAATTGTATACCAATTTATATTAATCAACCCAAAACATTTCATACAGCTGGTTTGAAAGAAAAAGGTAAGGTGGAGAAAGGAGGGGAAAGGCTTTCAAACCAAACAGSCAATAGAACCAATTCCAAATAAGCTAAGACTTTTGATTGAATGGAATTGGCRTTGGGGCCCAGGGTTTATGGCTCCTAACCAAAGCTTTGGTTATCTCATGGTACAAACACAAGGATACAAATGAAGTTAAATTCTTAAGGGGGTGTTCCACAATATGGTTGGTTTTTGTTTTATTTGTGCCATTATTATCTCTTTTAAGATAAGTGGCAACCTTGAAGTCCAAAAACACGACAAACTATACAAATGACAAAAGACATATAATATAAAAAGAATTCACATCCTCAACTTTGATGTTTGGTTCCAAAAGTGAAGCCAATGTAGAATTTGGATGGGCACTCTAGACTTTGTGTTGGACTTCCTTCCCTTTGGTATAAGATGACTGATATTTTAGTTGGGACTTATGCGAGGATGAATCTTGATCCTAGAAACAAGGGGCAATTGGCAAGGTATGTGGGCTCCAAACCCATCTATGGGGTATAGGGTAAATCTAATAGGTCAACTAAGGGGGAGTTCCATGTTGGTTCATGTTGTTGAACACCCATAAAACCATTGGAGGACATTGTCCTACCACATCCATTTTATATGGTAATTTTAGGGTTTAGGATTAGAGTTTAAAGGTTTAGATTTTAAGATTTAAGGGTATAGAGTTTAAATTTTAAGATTTAAGATTTAGAGTTAAGAATTCTGAAGTGGGTTGAACAGTCTAAAAATAACCCATTTGGACAATAATGGGCTTGTTGAGGTTGAGTGGAGTGGGTATCATAATAGCCCATTTATACGTGTTGGGTTTCGTACGGAGTTCAATCTGAACTGAAGCCCTAGGCCATGACAACCACCATGATGACTCGGGGTTATTGCTGTTACTGTAACTATGGAGACTGGAGCAGGAGCTAGGCATCAGTACTAGCGTAACTGCTTAATAGGAAGAGGAGAAGAAGAGAAGAAACCCTAACCCTAGAAATCATGGTTTGCATTAGAAAGGCCACCATTGACGACCTGCTGGCGATGCAGGCTTGCAACCTACTCTGCCTCCCTGAGAATTACCAGATGAAGTACTACTTCTATCACATCCTCTCCTGGCCTCAGCTCCTCTACGTCGCCGAAGACTATGGCGGCCGCATCGTCGGCTATGTTCTGGCCAAGATGGAGGAGGAAAGCACCGAGTGCCATGGTCATATCACCTCCCTTGCTGTTCTCCGTACTCATCGCAAGCTTGGCCTCGCCACCAAGCTCATGACCGCTGCTCAGAACGCCATGGAACAGGTATTCGGTGCTGAATATGTCTCGCTCCATGTCCGCAAGAGCAATCGTGCTGCGTTCAATTTATATACCGAGACGCTCGCTTACAAGATTCATGACGTCGAGGCCAAGTACTATGCTGACGGGGAAGATGCCTATGATATGAGGAAGCAGCTGAAAGGAAAGCAGAATCATCACCACCACCATCACGGCGGTTGTTGCTCGGGTGAGGCTAAGAATGAGGAGGTGAAAGCTAATTCTTCTGGATGATGATTGAGGTAATTTGGTTTGGGATGATTGGGTTATTGGAATTTTATCACTTTTTGGATTGCTAATTTGTATTTTAGGGTTTTATCGGATAAACCTGCGCCTGAAGGTTGTCAATTATCTTGATTATCACCATTCAACATTCAAGTAATCGAGATAAACATGCTATGTAATGTTATACTTGACACATGAGAAACTTGAATGAAATAATGACAGTAGTTATATGCTGATGGCAACATCATGTTACATAGAGAAATATTTACAATATTTTATATAAATTATGCTCCTTACCGGGATATGAAAATGAACTTGGAAGGTCAGAATTAGTGGTAATAAGCATGGAAACGTGTTTGGAGACTTTAGATGCTGTTTTTCTTATTAATAGATAGCTCAATCGAGAAAATTTCAACTGGAAAAGAATATTGGGTTTTCAGCCATTACATTGTTTTTGTAATGGATGATCCAATTCATTTGTGTGCAATTGCATTGGTTTCAGCCTTTATTTGTGAAGAGGTGGGCTTGGTTTACCAGGCTTATTTGCTTCTTTGATTAAAGGCATCTCCCTCAAAAATAAGATGAAGAGTCTTGACTTTAAACCAAGGTGACACTAAGGATTTCTATCTTTTACGTCATTGCACAAACCTTCTGCTTCAACTAATAAGGAGACTCAAATGCTGGAAGAGCAATTTAAAGAATATATAACCTTGATAACTCAAGATGATCGCAAATAGTGTTTTATGTTCTACATCCTTTTTCATCTGTGTTTGTACTTTGGCAATTGCTTGCTTAAATGATCACACCCAGATCATAGTGGGCTTGTTAGATAGGTAACACCATTTGTAACCACTGGCTCAAGGTTTATGAACAATTTCTCGGCAAAGAATAGTATAGCCACAAATTGCATGATGTACTTGAAAGTCAAGCCTGTTGAATTCAAGCTCATCATTCCCCTGCATTGAAAAATGTCTTATTCCAAATTCCCAGTATATTCCTTGCTTGCAGCTTTCCTTGTTTTTTTTCTTCATGCTTTAGCTAAATTCATCCTTACTTTCTGACATGTATTATCTTCTCTGAAGAAAGTTCAACTCAATGGAGGTAACAAATGATTTTTAGAATTCAAGAATTCTGGATGAGAATGAGCATGTTTAAGGGGTCCCTGTTGCATGTGGTCATATTAAAAGATTTTTTGAATTTTCAATAAACCACAGAGTGCTAAGAATCAGTTTAACATTGATGGGAACCATCTGGTTAATGAAATCTTCAATGAGTTTAAAGTTCAATCAGTTGGATTTTGGTTGACATTGACCAGCTTTACTTGATATATGTCTTACAATTTTTATTGTCCACTTAATGAAATCTTCTCAACTTTCTTGGTATCGATAGTCTTCTTAAGGATCTTTCTTGTCATTAGAAATTATAATTATAAGTTTTGCAAACTCTTCTCTGTTATTCTTTTTTTCTGAAGATTTTGGGTTCAACACATCATTCAGTATGGAAATAATGAGCAAATTTCATTATCTTTTTCTTTTTCAAAAGAAAAAAAAATCAAGTTTATCCATTTAACAATGATTTTGCATTCAATTTCAAAACGTATGTGCTTCTTGGGATCATAAACATCCTTTGATATTGCACTCACTTTTTAAATGGGTTGCACAAATCAAAGAAAAAATATTAGAGAGAAAGAAGAAAAGAAAAGAAGGAAGTCTCAAGTGTAATAGGGTTTGGAATTGATTTTTTTTCATGCCTTCTGTTCCTTAACTTGAATACTATGAATTTTAATTACAATAATGCCCTCACAATTAGAGCCTACTGACTACTGAGTTGCCCAATTGCAAAGACAAATCCACCCTTCCATATACGTTGACATACAATACCAGTAGCAGTTGGAGATAAACCAGCAAAAGTTACATCTTATGAAGCTGACACAACATGCCCGAACACATAGCAATTCAAGTGATCCATCCAATTGGAATAACTTAGTACATACTGCCAACCCCGCGTAATCTTGTCCATGGTTACATCCTTGAACATTTGTCCATTAGAATCCAATATACCGCTCTAACCATGAGGAGATCAATTAGAACTCTTGCACACAACTTTCCTTTTATTCAAAATTTTTGCATTTCTTTCTCCCCATAAACTCCATACTACGTGGGTGCATTGCAACATTATTTTCCCCACTTTTGGAGTGTAAATGTGGAACTTGCAAATAAAGTAACTCAAGAATACTACCAGGTGCAGACCACAGCATCAACCAGAAGGAAAAAGTGGCTCAGTACTTGTTATTTCACATAGGTCATACAAGACTATTTTCCCCATTTTGCATTTTTTTTGAAGCATTTCCCCATCATAGGTCATACACGTGATTTCAAAGGAACTAGAAATCAAATTTCTGCTTTAATTCTTTATCATATTAATAAAGGTTCTGTTACTAATAAAAAAAACTCGTGCTTTAATTTTTTCCATAGAAGATAACCTAGATTTTATATTAAATTAGATACAAGAAAGATGTACATCTGGTATACACAAGAATAGGCATCTCTCCTATAGGGAGCCATCACTATACAACAAGGCCCTGTGTGCCCCTGCTCTAGCAAGTGCATCAGTGACTGGATTTTAGCTGAAAGATGTGAATATATTCTCAGTGAGGTAGTGCACTAATCTTTTATAGGAGGGGGAAGGAAAACTCTGTACATGAGGCCACCAGGGAGGAGTGGAGGATCTCAATATAATTCCTTCATAGTTGCCTTGGGAGATTCCATTGAATCCCTTGGAGGTGGATTGATGGAGATCCATTAGCTAATGAGAGATATAGTTCCTCCTCTGAGCAATTATACGTCACTATTGTCCTCTGAATGTTATCAAAGCTCAGTTTGGAAAGAGTACAAATACATACAAAATAATATAAACAACAAGGTTTTGCACTCTCCATATTTGTATTTGTACTCCTTCCTAACTGAGCCCAAGTTGTTGAATTTTGAAATATAGCTGTTACAGTTTTAAATGGACTTAGAACATGGAAGTGTCGAGGGAAACTGGTAAAATTGGGGATGTTCTTATTTCTTACTCCCACTCCACCTGATCAATAACATAGATGTTGATAATAAGCAAAGGCAAGGAAAATGATGTTCCTCTGCAAGCCCTGAAATTGAAACTGGCAAGCCAATAAAAGACAAGCAAAACCACATAGAAATTAACTTAGCACCCCACACCAAACATCCCTTATAACATTTCCTCTGCAACCCCCTCGGCATGTAGTTGAGTCTCCATGAAACCCCTGTAAATGATGTTCCATCCTGCAGCCACATTTTGGTTTCACATTACATATAATTTGAGTATCCAAGATCTAGTAAAACTGTTCAGCATACTTCAGGGACTAAAATTTGCTAAGCAATTTGGGTTTCATAACCTGGAGGTAGAAGGGGACTCACAAGTGGTCATTTTGTGGACAAGAAGTGGTACCCAAATCCCATGGATCTATAGGCACGCAATTTAGGAAATATAAAGTTTAGCAAGGGAGATGAATGTTGTTTTTAGATGGATGAGAAGAATAGCAAATGGAATGGCAGATACTTTGGCTAAACAAGGGACTGCTAGACGACAATTATTTTGGGCAGAACTCTGAAAGTTGTATATTGGTGGAGAATTTTCCACCTTGATGTAATACCTTAGTTGAAGTTAATAAAATCTTTAAAAACTAATAAATGTAGTGAGACTATTATATCTGTGATTGACTTGATTTTAGATATTTTGTATAGTAATTTATGCAAACTAACAAGCTTCACCAGTTCACCTATAAAAAATCTGTAAATAAATAAAAAAGTTTTCTAGTCAATTCAAGTAAGGTTATTCCCTACATGACCTACCCTATTTATGTCACATGGAAGGATGATGTGACTGAGTGGAAATGACCCTGTACATAACAAAAGATAAAGAATAAAAGCTCCATCTTTTTCTCATAATAAAAAGTTATTTTTCTTCCACTTGATGGGAGTTGGATTTTCTCCCTTAGTGGCATGTATAATATGATTAAAGTGCAGAATCATTTTCTCCTGCTTCTTTCATGATGAGTTGTCCTCTCAATACGTAGATTGGCAAGCTTTGTTTCAAAAGTTATGAAAGAGGTGGATGAAATGTGATAGGTAGTGATAATTAGAAAATTTCTATGGAGATGTTTATGTATAAAATGTATTTGACTTACACCTTATACATTATCCTCCTTTGGTAGGAGTATTAGTTTCCTGTAAAAATTAGCAATTTTGTGATTTGTGAAGGGGATTTTTTATGGGTCACATACCGAGTTTCTTTCCCCCTGCTGTTCTGAAGAGTCGCATACTGGGGGTTAAATTACAATGGGTCAACTTCCAGAAATGTAAATTAAAAGTACAATCAAATAAAGGAATCAAGCTTGGGTCATATGGGCTTGCTTTAGGATTTAGAGAAAGAATTTCAATATTCAACAACGACAAATACTAACGGGTAGCAGTTAAACACCTATAATGCTGAGAGCTTTTAATATTTTCATATGATGCATAATCTTTTCTTCTTCTTTCTTGAAAAATTCAGTTGATTCATAATCTTGACATCAGGTCGATGTGCTTAATGTTGAAGCTTCCTTTTGCATAGACAAGGTGGAATGTTATGTTGTGGTTTTCTTTTTGAACAATTTCCTTTTGTTTTCAAATTGACCGATCAGGGATAATGCTGTTGAATTGAAGAAAGCTCCATTTGTTCCACAGTTACGCAATGAACTTTGAGGAAAGAGTTGAACATGGGCCAAACTTTCTGTAGAACAAATTAGTACAAAAAGGAGTATGTTTTTCAAGAAATATATTGATTTTGAGATGCATAAGTTGTTCATTGAATAATTGCTCCCGACTCACTGAGTTGAGGAGAGTTTCAAGTTTAGAGTGAAGAAATGTTTCCCTATTTCGATTTACAAAATATAATAGATTCTATATGCTCTGTGTTGTGGAAAGTATTTTTCTGCCATATTATTGTCATATATATTTTCTATTTTGTCGGTTGTCAAGAGTAAGCAGGGGATGGTCCCATCCTTCAATATTCCTGCTTTTATTGAAAGAACCCATTTAGATGATTTGTTAGCTCCTGCCTCTAGTTTTCTGTTTGGGTTGCGATTCAATGGCAGGCTGCAGGCCCCTCAAATAAAAAGCATCCACTCTGATCAATGAATGGAACTCTGTTTAGTGTAGAAAAATCTAGTCGGTAATCTTTTTTCTTTTTCTTTTTTTTTGTAGTATATGTAAGTATATTACTCCCTCATTTCGCATGTATCAGAAATGTATTCGATAACGGTTTAATCTTGAGTAGAGCATTTAATCAAAAGAGATGAAAACGGTTCATTTTGGCGCAAAGTGAAGCAGAGCAAATCATTTTCACGGTGGATATAGCATTTAATGTTTGCTTTGATGCATTCTTCCAAACGCCAGCGAAAATGTAAAGGTGTTTCAGTGTTTGTTGATCAAATCAATGGTTTTTGGCGAAATAATGGGAACCAGTCAACTGATCGGTTCTCGGTTTTTTGGTCCGGTCCGGTTTTGTAAATCATGAGAGAAATTTTTCTCCTACCATATGGGCACATTAGGTAAATACAATGAGTGAGTATGTAATTTCTGTCAAAATAATTAAAAATAAAAATAATGAAAAAGGAAAACCTAAACGTATTGGGAATCGGGACCCATTTACGTTTTCTTATTTCATTGTTTTTATTTTTAATTATTTTGACAAAGATAATAAAATAATGGATAATTTCTATCTAATGGAACAAAAACGTTTGGATGAAAGGCACATTAACTAGGACATGTACCACACAGCTATTACGTACTCACTCATTGTGTTTACCTAACGTGCCTACTACATTGAGACTCAATGGATAATGGTACGGTGCTACCCAACGTTTTAAACTTTATTAATTATTATAAAATAACTTTTTTAATATTATTAATATGAGGGCACATATTCAAGTAAAGATATAAGTTAACAATATGTGATCAAAATTAAACTTATGATTTGAATGAACCAAAACCAAAACCAAAGCAAATATCCCCTATTATTAATAGCATAGATTATTATTATGAGAACTCATCGAGGCATCTTTGGTTCTGTTCGGCATGGATGCTTCACAAACATTATGTTTTACCAATTTGACACATCCGAAAAATGGTATTTGATCTGTTGCTTGCTGTGCTGTGTAATGTTATGTACACATGGAACCCACACTAGTGTATGGAGCACTGTCGTGTTCACTCCTGATTGGTCATGTAGAGCTTTACACACAGCGTAGCATGCAGCAGACCCGGGCTCACATGTATTTTGGAAAATGTCACTACAATGGTTATGTTTAGGGTTTCCGAAGAAGAATTCATCTTCAATCACAATAAATAAATAAATAATAATGATGTTTCTTGAACCATAACTAAAGATCGATTAGTATGCATCTCTAACAAATTGTCAAGGAACAAAGAGGAATTTGATATATAGTTGTTTTATTGGCTGTGGGATCAATCATTTTGTTTTTTTTTTTTTTTGCAAATCATAAATGTAAGCTAGGTATTGACTATTGAATGGCTGTAGACCACATACATTTTAAAATGTCTAAATACCCTTCTGGATGATTTCATCTTTATCAGACTTTAAGATAATAGAGGAGCATTTTTTTTTTCTTAATTTGAACAGTGGGAACACTCTCTCATAAGATTAGGGTTAGCAACGAGAATAATTTAGAAGGGTAATTTTGGAATTTAAAAAGATTTAATACATAATAGTTGAGGGAAGAATCTGGCATAAAATCAAGTTTAGGTTGTAGTCAAGTGAAGCACCTAGAGTTTACCAAAAAGAATATGTACGATCAGGGGTGCATTAATTCCTGATTTTTTTATGAAACGCAATAATCCAGACAAACTATTTGTTTGACAGAGCTCAGCCTAAGCCGTGTCTAAGGGGCCTTGAACGCATACCCAACTGAGAGCTCAATTGTTCGTTCAACACTTCAATGCTTCAATTCAATGAGGCCTTCTTTCCGGAATTGGAAGGAATGTAATATAATAATGAAGCTCATCACAAGGTCCAAATGTGTACTCCAAGGGCAGATTTGTCTTTGCGTGTATGGGACCAACTGGTGCTCACATCGTTTAATTCATGGATGAATCACTTACCAAGACGCCAAATCTCGAACTTTCTTCCCTTCTTCTCCCATTTGTTTGCATCCATTGAGAGGGTAGAGCAATCCAGTCCTTGCGTCCACATTATGGGGTCCACTTTTTGCCAGGCTTTAGATGGGGTTGGAGCAACCAAGAAATTTCAACTTCCAACCACCTCTCCATATGAACGAAATACCAGAGAATCACTGCCCCAATCACAAAGTGCCACGTCATCATGCCATGTGGACCTTACATGTACAGTGTTGACATGTATCAAGATTGGCCTTCACGAGTAGAACTGTAGACGATTGAAACTCTGTTTTAGAAGTTAACCAGAGAGTCTCCTCTTCTCGCGTGGTCAGACCAGACGTGATGACTTATTAGAGAGGAGTAGATCGATCGAGTAGACTTGCAAATCGACGATTATCCACATACAGATAATAACATCGAAACAATTTAGCCCCTCTCCCTTCCCCCTTTCTTCTCTCCCTTCAACTGCCTTCTGCAAATCGACGCTGTGAAGAAGAATCTCCGGCATGAACGAAGCAAATCACAGTTTCTCATATACAACTAGGGTGAAGAATTAAATCACACAGCCTAGACGATTATCCACGTACAGATAATAACATCGAAACAATAACAAAACTCAAGAACTTCATGACCCATATGAAAGATCTAACTACTAAACATTCTGAATAAGCGAGAGAGAGAGAGAGAGAGAGAGATTGGAGATGTCATCAACAAGATTATGCACATGGGTTCTCGACCACAGATAGCTCCTCATCGTCGCTCCTGAAGACCAAGTATCCAACGGAGAGACCCAACACGACGGCAATGAAAACACCTCCATTGAACGACATGACAGCCAGCATCAACATGTACCCTACCGCGGAATTGATCCCAAACATCACGGCCACCAAGAACTTAGCGGATTTCCTCCACCGGCTGCTGGCGACGAACCCGGGGTTGAGGAGAGCAGTGTGCATGTTCTGCGATGACACGACCAAGGGCTTCTTTCCAGCGGCGAAGAGCTTCAAGCGGAGGCGGCGGTCTTCCATGGACTGGTAGACGACGGAGACGAGGAAGCAGAGGAGGAGGGTGAGGGAGTAGCTGGCCCAGGAGTCGGTGTTCCAGGAATCAAACAGGATGGTCACATTTTTGCCCCAGTAGAAGGTCATGTGCATCATCGTGGCAGGGTTTAGCGAGGCAAGAAATTAACGAAAGCGAATGAAATGCAGAGACTGAATCACGTAGGGGAAGAAAGTTCAGAAACGAAAGAGAAGAAATTGTGAGAGTCGCGTAGGGGGAAAAGCAACGAAACTAGTACGACTGTAGACGAATTCAATTGATTAATATCATACTTGCGTACAAGGTTTGGTTATCGGTGTCCTTTGGGAAGTAGAAGTAGGGCTATCCTAGTCCAACACCTACAGACTTTGAAAGTCCGATGTATGATTGGACACTACTGGATCCGAGTGTCTCGGATTTGGGTGTTATAGTTATAGCCTGCATTGGTCCGATTAAAATTATATAAATTGAATAGTTTATGTTTGTATTATATGCACAAGTGAAAATGTAATAATTTATTTTTTTCAATTTCACTTTTTCAATTTTTAGGCATAATAAGTCCAACTCAGATTAAATCCAAATTGGACCAGAATCGAACATAATCGGATTTGACACAGCTAAATCCGGTCTTTATTTGATCCGATCAAAGTCTACTTGAGATTAAGGGTGTCGATGAAACGGTTTTGGACTAGACTCCATTCATTCAAAATCAATTTGGACAGATTGGGCGAATCAATAAGATATATTGGATTGGACCAATTCAATTCAAAATATTTATTAGATTAAATTGGACTTGGTCCTTCCGTAATAAATTTTATTGGATTGGGTTAGATTATCCATTGATATAAGATAAGATAGATGTCAATGGATCGGGTTTGGATTGAAATCAATCTAAATTAAAACAATTTTGAATAGATTGAATGATCCAGATATTGAATTGGATTGGACCTGATTCATTTGTAGTAGACTCACATTGGACTGGATCGAATTGGACCAAATCCGATCCAATTGAAACCCTAGAACATAGGTGTCCTTTTCTTAGTGGACAACTAATAAGGGAATTGGAATCGTTCCTTAGCTAGCACGCTTCAGTGCCTCACTCAACATTTCCCCATAAGGGTAAAATACAAAAAACCTTTCATGAAATTTCTGAGAATCATAAAAACATTTTTTATATTTTCATTTTAACACAAACTTCCCCTCTATTTTTAAAAAATGTTAAAGAGATGATCAATTTTTTTCATTTACGAATTAACGTGCATCTATTTTTATTAAAATAGCCCTGTTCATCTTCTTGACGAATTCTCGTTGCCCGAATTCCCAGTGTCTCGGCTTCACCGGTCACAGCTCTCTACCATGCTGCAGAACGCTAATGGTACATCGGTCCATTTATAACCAGAAAAATTTCCGTCTCACACCGACGTCTAATGGATTCTTAATAAATACTGTGGAGGAGATGGACAAGATTGGGCTCGACTATTTCAGAAGGAAAACAACCCGAAAGGTTTGGCCGAGTGGTCCTACTTTTTCTTGCTTCATGAACAAACCTCGTGTCAATCAAGCAGACGATACCATAAGGAATATCTGTGTCAAATGGTTTGAAGCTCATCCTGTGAATTCAGTTCTATACGTATCCTTTGGTTCTCATAGCAATATCTCTCCTTCCCAAGTGATGGAATTAGCAAAGGCTTTGGAGGCAAGCGGCAAATTTTTCATTTGGGTTGTTAGGCCACCGATCGGATTCGACGTTAATGACGAATTTAGAACAGAAGAGTGGTTGCCGAACGGATTTGAAGAACGAATGAGAAAGAGCAATCAATGGCTACTAATCCGCAGATGCATGGGCGCCTCAATTGGAAATTCTGTCACATAATTCTACTTGTGCATTTCTTAGCCATTGTGGTTGGAATTCAGTGCTGGGAAGTTTGAGCCAGGGAGTGCCGATAATAGGTTCGCCATTGGCTGCAGAGCAATTCTTTAACTCAAAACTGTTGGAGGAGGAGATGGAGGTGTACGTTGAAGTTGCAAGAGGGAAACTTTGTTCCTACTACACACATAAGACTCGAGTGCGTATTTGGCGTGATGAGCTGCAACAATGGCGGCTTCAATGGATCGCACGGCAGCGGCGATGTCCCAGTGAGCAGATCATATGAGCGAGAGAAGCAGAGTTGTGAAAGACTTGTAGGTTTCTTTGACTTAGTTCATCGTTTCTTTGAACAGTTCCGTTGCAGGCGTAGCCGCAACTGGATAATGGGTTACTGGTGGATTGTATCAGTCGTCGAGAGTTGAGACTCAATTTTCAAAATCGCCGCCTCGTACGGCGCCACCTCGTCCCTCAGCGAGACCAGCCCCAGTGATTCTCCTTTTCCGGCTCCTATAAACCTCCTCCGGAACTTGTCTTTCAAATAGACCAATCGCCTCAACTTCATCACCACCGCAATGTCGGCAGCACTCATCTTCTAGGCCAATGCGCCTCTTGCAAGCCAACGTATGCCCTTTTCACCGCCGACACCGCTTCGAATACCTCCCCCATTAACACTTCCATTTCCCTCACCTCTCCACACTTACCAGCTTATTCTTCTCCACACCCACCAATATATATGCTATTCTGTAACTTAAGAAATTTGCAGAATGATTAGCTGACCTTAGCTTGCGCTCAGATCGTAACGAGAATCTGGATGGGTTGTCCGTCGACTTCCTGTAAAAGGGAATTGAACGCAGAAGTTGTTGATCTTTGATTTCCTTTTTGGCGTTCCTCCAATCGACCTTTTTTTGCCTGAAAGAACAGAAAACCGTCATTATAGGAAGTCGATCGGCCTTGTCATTTTTAGGCAATGAGAGGAAACAGAGTTTCACCATCAATACAGAGGGCAAAGGGTATTTTAGTAAAAATAGGTATACAATGACACATATAGGGGTAAAATGAGTATTTTAAAAAAAAAAGAGGTTTTAGTTAAAATTAAACTATAGAAAAAGTTTTTATGATTGTCAGAAATTTTAAGGAAATTTTTTCTAATTTACCCTAATAATAAATATAGGTATTGGAGATATTCTCTATGTACGGCCAAGATATGTTGTGAGGTTGATATGAGGTGCGCTCTATTAAGAATAGATGTGTAGACTCCTAATAAGGGGCCAAGGGGGGCGTTCGGCTGTAGGGAACGTTTTTCTGGGCTTGGCAAGTCCACCCATTCACTCTTCTTGTCTTGGTAGAAATGTTGAGGGCAATTCTTCTTTTACCCCCACCAATGGTAACATGTCATGCCTAAGAATGCTCTCAACAGGGTCCAACAGCTAGGGGTGAGTAAAAAAAATTCAAAAAATTGAATCGATTGAAACCAAATTGAAAAATTGGTTAATTGAATTGATCGGTTTGATTGGTTTTGAGTTAGTGTTTTTAAAAAACTGAAGGTATTGGTTTGGTTTCGGTTAATTAATATAAAAAACTGACAGTTAATTGAATCGACTGGTATACATATATTTCTATATATTTTATATATATTATATATATTTTATATATTATGAATTAATAAATATGCATTATGTATAAATATATTATTTAAAATATAATATTTTATATATATATTTTTATAATAAGTATTGTAAAAATTAAAAAAACTGAAAAAACAAACCAATCAACCGGTTAACTGATTGTCTTTGATTCGATTTCGATTACCGATTTTTCAAAACCGATAGTACCGATTCGATTCAAAAAAACACCCCTCGTTCGATTAAACACTTAAGCACCCCTACCAACAGCCAAAGTATGCAAGGTTGATCCATTGATGGTTTGTTGTAAGGCAGACAGCTATCATCCTCTGCAATATCGGTTTAAAATGAACATAGATGGTGGTAGCAAAGGCAACCCCGAGGATAGTGTGTCCTTGGTAACATGAAATTTTTCATACGATATCCCTAAAACAACCGAACCAATAAACTAAATCATAAACGTGGTAGTTAATTAGTGTTTTTTATTAAATTTTATGAGTGAGTTTTAATTGCTCAAAACTCTTTCCATATCACCTCATTTCTGTATTATAGATTTTCCCTATTACATAAATCTCCTCATGTTAAGAGCTGATTAGTCTTTACTCTACTTTTGTTGTTTTTTTCTGGGAGGGTTATGAGAGAATTCTGTTGAGAGATTTTTATACTGGGGTTGGGGAAGGCAGACTAAGTCCTCCCCTGTTATTGCTATTTTCCCATTTGATAATGGTTAACAAAATTTACTGTTAGGTGAGGTGTTAATTTTTTTTATTTGGGTTCGGTTTGGAAGGAATACAAATAGAAATATATAGAATAGTGTAAAACCTTGTATTTTGTATTATTTATTTATTTTTTTTGAAACTTAGCCTTAAACCCTTGTCCACTTAGTAAATTTGACCTGGTAAGTGCTTTTGACATGGCTCTTCGTCTCCTCCATACTCAAAGAGTTTATTTTCCTTCATTCAAGGTCCTTCGGAGCATTTTTCACTTGTGAATCAACACATGAGACATTCTCATCTCAACCTGAAATAAAAGAAAATCCAACTTGTATTGATGACTTGATATGTAATGTACTATCATATTGGAAGATGTGTTGATAGCGGATCCAGATAACTTCATCCCTACAACTTCTTCAAATGCCCACAGCCAATATAACCATAATCCCTATTTTAACACCTCTAAAGCTTCTCCTCCTCTTGGGGTGCTCCTCCAATAGGCGCAATTATACAACAACAACAATAACAATAACATCAAAACAAACATCTTATATTTAAGGGTGCAATTTAGATCGGCCCAAATTAACATTTTACACTACTTTGGGTTTGGGCCTTAGGCTGTACCCATTAAAATTTTGACAAATCGCACCCGACTTACATAATAGTATAATACATTGTCATTTGCAAAATGAGACCTGTGTGGGTGAGAATTGTCTGGCAATATATTTGTATTTGTACTCTTTTCAAACTGAGCCTAATGTCTCTATTAAAAAAGGCAGCGCTGTGCATAAGATTCGCGCTAATATGAGTCTGGGGATGATATTGATTCTCAACCTTTTTAAGTATGTATGCATATCTTAATTTTTCCATTGTTTATCAACATTTCTTGAGTATATCCTAGAATTGACACTTCACATAAATTATTCGTAGTCATCTGGCCCATAGACTTAGGCTGCATTTGGAAACAATGCAAATGGGGTGTAAATCCCGGTTCAGGGTAAATTTGCACTCTGGTTCACTTTTGCTTGTGTTTGGCAACATTACATTTATGCATTGATAAATGACAGAAAATGCATTTTCCAATGCATATCTACATTGATATAAGATGTAAAAATACATCAACAAAAAAGAAGTAAATTTGCATTCAAGTGGGCTTTTGATTAAAAAAAGCATATGCTTTATTAGAATTCGTGTTTGCATCCATTACAGCCAAAAGTTTGTTTGGTAAGAAAATAAATTTATCAGTACAAAACTAACCGAACTTTACAATTTATATGGCCCATTTTACACTCTACATATTTGCATAGTTTCCAAACGCAGCCTTAGGGGCTATTTATTAACAACTGAAAAGGCTGAATTAAATGACTAATTGCTTGACTTTTAGTGAGTGAACAAGCTATTCAGTAAGTTGTAAGCATTCCAATGGCTGAAACTGGAATTGGTTCAATAGTTTGAGTTATAAGCCTGAAACGTAATAATAAATGAATAGAGATATTCATTTAAGAGTGCAACTACAAATATGTGTAAAACGTTGTGTGATTTTTTAAATCTTGTATCTGCACTCTTTCCAAACTGAGCGAAAAGATAAATTGGTAATATATACAGACTTTTTGGTAGAAGTAATATATACAGACAGAGCAAACGGTTTTTTGTCGGATGGGCCCAGTAGAGCTACCACTTATCGGGTCTTAAAAATAGGCCCAAAACCAATTACGATGGATTGGGTTAGATCTTTGGATCTGTTGGTCGATCAGGCCCATTAATAGGTCCATATAGATTAAGACGTCGGTATCAGTACGACCTGACCTGTAGTTATTGACATTTCTCATGGTGGGTGTGTTTCTTATTAGCAGTACCCGATATTGCCAGTAATTTAGGGTTGAAATATCTTCCATTGTAACCGGGTACAGTAGAAACCGGATGGTTGGTTTCAGTAGGCTTATCTCATCATTTTCGACTTTCCAATCAAAATTGAGCATTCTGGGATTGAGTATGAGTCAGTTGCCAGTTGTGGTGATAGTTTCAGAAACTAAAATCTGGCAATGTACCCATTAATGAGTATGGGATGTATAATCTCACAAGTTCAGAAAGAATTTATTATGTCATAGTTTCATATCGGCTTTTTTACAGGTTTCAATTGAATAGGTTTGTTGACCATCAAAAAACAAAATGAATCGGTTTCCATACTCATGGACCAACCCACAAAATTAATTTGATCCCCTCTTTAATGGGAACTGGGAAGTGATCGGATCAAATTTATCTGGGTTTAAAGTACCCATTATGACCCGGATTATGGTGGCCGGATCAGTCAGACTGATTCACTGATGGAATGGAGTTATGAAACTAACATCCACTGATCCACATCTTGCACCCAGGGCCCAGGCCCATGGAATCTACAAAAGCAATGGAATTTGTTTCCATCAGTTTTAGAGAATAGATTCAGAGTAGAACCAATTAATTAATCAGGATAATCAGGTCTGACCCGATTAGGCATTTTAACAATATAACCTTAAAAATTGTAGTAAATAATAAGAAATCAGATATGCTCCTCACATAGCACGCTTCACACTGACTTCACAACTTATAAATTTTTAATTCATGACCTCATGGGGAGATGTTCTTGATGCACAGCTGAAACGTGCCGTGAGGCACGCTCTGTCAGGAGCAAATCGGAACTCCTTAAATAAACACTTTACTCTTCATCGATTTGGAATTGTAAAATCCTAACCCAATTATCATTGTGAAGACAAATTCCAAAGTTAATAATGTAATCAAGGTGGGGTGGGCTTTTTGACATCTCTCAAGGTGGGGCTGGGCTTTTTAGCAAGTTGCAATTCGTTTCAGTGTAAGACAAAATGCAATATTTAGGCCCAACTGACCAAAAGATCAAGGGCAATGTGCCCATAAAACTCATGGATTAGAATCTTTTATCTTTATCGGTCCTGAATCCTGATCACAGGAAGAAAAAATCTCAATCCAAGGGCTATTCTGACCCATGTAAACCCTAGACATGGACCCTCGAGAGAGAGAGAGAGAGAGACCATTTCTTGACCAAAGACGACCGACAGCTGATCCGAACTCCAGCAGCTGATCGCATATCGGAGATATAAAAAATTAATAAAATAACAAAGTGGCTAATTACATCGAAGGTTGAATCTCTGTGTATAATACAAAAGAAAGGACATCAAGACAATCTTGTTTTTGTAGTGGGTCCCTCCTCTTCCTTCCACGATCCATAAGATCCAGTAACGAATCAACGGTCACAATCATCATCATGATCAGTGTCACCACCACCATGTTGTTAGGGATCTCACAGTCTCAATTTAGTGGGGCTAGCTCGAACCGGTTTAGTAAGGGCTGGCAGTTGGCGAGCCCACGGTTCGAATCGATTGGGACCCACGACACTGATCCTTCAAAAACTCGGCTTGGTTCGATTAGATGACGCTCTATACCGTGAAGCGACGAGGAATTGAAAATCGGGGAGTCGGCACGACGACATCTTGGCCGGATTTTATCATCTCGATCCGGTCCTGGATGGTCCTGTCAAATAGCCGGTTCTGGGGGTTCTCGGCGTAGCAGACGTAGTAACAACTAACGCAAGCCTGTGGCAATGCCATGCCGATCCGAGTCTGATACATTGATCAAGGCAGCATGGTTTTGGACAATTAGAGAGAAACCCAACACTCAAGTTGAGCACATCAAGTATTTGATATAAAAACAATAAGACAAATAGAGGGGGAGAAAGTGGTACCAACCAAGAGGTATCCGATGAAAAAGGTCAGGAGCGAAACAGTGGCAGTGAAGCCCTTGTGGACCGCCCAAGTCCACGATGCGGTGGAAAGCACGCAGATGGACCCGCTGCATACTCCGGTCAGGAAGCAAACTGCGCTGGTCATGTCGGCGTCTACGATGGCTTCCATCCCTTGCTTCTCAAACAGCTCCCATGTCTGCTGTGATGCCTGAACAAACCCCTTTCCATATGCAGCTATCTGTAACAAACAAACAGTTCAGAGATTAGAACAAACACTCAGTTCATTTCAACCCCAAATTAACATGCCCAATGACTCCAATCTGTCAAATCGTTTTAGACAGTAGTTGATACAAAATATTGCAGAAAACGGTATGGCTGTGATCATTCAATGGAAGTTATCTGTTTTTTTTTTTTTTTTTTTCCACCGTTAGGGCCCCTCTTGTTATGGACATGCTAGGTTGCTCCCAGCAAATAGTCTGTATTTGTCCACTATAATCACATAATCAATCATGGCTGTAGGAATTTTGTAGTGGTTTAGTGTTAACAGCAGCATTGATTACCTGAACATAAGCCCAGCCATTGCCATATCTGAAGATGTTCTCCATGACTCTGAGGCAGCAATGGGCACAAGAGAACATGAACTCATCTTCGCCTTCGAGCAAATTGAGACCCCGAGCGACAATTCGCAGAGCTTCGATTGCTGGCACAAAGAGGGAACCCAGACTAGCGCTTCCAAGGTTCCTAGTCATCGCTCTTTGGAAGCAACATTGGGTGTTTGACTGCATTCCTCTAAGATAATATAGAGCTATAACCCGACTAACTGTCAAATTGGATACATTTCTCATCACTTCAGCCGTCCAAGCTAAGCTCAAGAACAGTGCAATCACGATCAAGGGGGGAAAGTAGAAATTCAGGGCTCCAATCACTGCTACAACCCAGAGAGTAATCCACATGAATCCAATACCCAGCATCCAGTAAGTAGGTTGGTTGAGATCAGAGAATTTCGGGACTGGTTCGAGTGATTTTACGAAGACTTTTGCGCAGAAACCAATTCTATGAGAAACCCAACAAGCATAGAGGCCATTACCGACTGCGAAGCAGATAAAGGCAACTCCGACGACGTCTGTAGTTGCCCTCTGGAAGCAAAGCAGAAGAATCCCTGCAGCCAGCGATGTCACAAAGCAGCTCCATAGTATGACCCTAACCATGATTTGAGGCCATTCCCTAACTGCCTTTTGCCATACAAAGGCAAGAAAAATGCTTAGAATCGCTGAGACTTCAACCTGTGGCAACCAGAACTCTAGTATCCGTTTCTCTCTTCTTTGAGTGCTATTTGTTTTCAAGAGCCCTTGAACTGCCTTGTATCCAAGAAAAAAAACTAGCCCAACTGCTGCAACCATGTGCAGAAGAAACAGAAACAGAGAGATTCGGTTCGTGTAAGACCTTGAACTCAGTGTATTGAACGGTTGCTGATTCGATCAGGAAAAAACAACAAAAACCCAGAAAGGATAAAGGTCAATAACTTGTAAAAGAAACGAAACTTCAAGCATATCAGTCTCTTTCTATATGACTTACTTGTGGCTGTGGGGTCGGCGTCGGTGCAGTCTGTGCAGGAGAGGGAGTTGCAACCCGGGAGGCAACCGGCGGTCGGGAGAGATTTGGAACTCGAGCACCCTGAAAGGCTATCCTTAGAGGATTGTAAGGGTTCAAATTCCTCAATCTGGACACATTGAATCTTCTTCCAGTAGAGCTTTCAGCAGTTTTTTCTTGAAGACCCACTTCCTGTTTCTCTGCATCCTTCACATCAACATTAACTTTGTTCTCCTTCTCACCTTCTTCTTTCGCTTCGTTTTCTTTACCCCCTCCCTCCATTACCTAAGAAGACAGAAAATCTCTGCAACTTTAGTAGACCATTAGAAGAGAAACAGAACAAAGCGGCCACTCTGTAGTTCGTTGCAAATGTTCTTACCGGTTCTTCTGAAGCACCCATATGGGAGAGCTGCCTGTGAAATCTATGCCCGTTCGGTCGTCCCCGGCGGTGGCCGTATCTGGTGGGTTTGTCAGTTACTTTCTCTGGCTGTTGTTGTTTAGCTTTCTTTGAGCCGTTACCCTCAGGCCTCAGCTTCTTCTTTATTATTATTTCTTTCTGTTTTCCTTTTCTTTTTATCGTTTTCAACCTTACCTCAGCTCCACGTACGATCCATCCAATTCCAACCCACTTATTTGCAGATTGATTAGCAGAAACATGTGGGTGGCTGGGGATTGGGTTTGGATCTGATTTTGGTTTGAATCTAGTCGGGTGAGAAGGTTTGATCCAGATAGGTAGACAGCCAGCTTTGGCTCTTTGCCCATACAATTCGGATCAAACAATCTTACAGTGGCTAAGTGATTCAGAGCCCAAGAGATATGAACCACAGGATTGAACATGTAGACAATCCAACCGGTTGGATAGAGGGTCTGGATTGATCATAAAATCTTCTACGTGGTAGAAACAGGATTGGTCGTGAACCTTTGTCCCTATTATTTTGACTATTCTTCTGGTAAAGGGGTGGCCATGTGGAAGGAGCAGTGACCGGTTGGAGGGGGACAGCCGGCGGCAATGCCACAGCAAGGAATACAACTGTGCCGGTTGGCCCAGTTGCCACAACCCACATGACTGCTTGACACTATAAAGCCCATTGACTGGCTAAGTGGCTAGCCAAAGTTGGTCGACCAAGGATCTCAAACCACACAGTTGGATATTCTGGCAGTTCAGATAATGGGTCCCACACACAATGTTCCGATTTCCGAATGTGTAAATAGTTCCAGCTTTAGACCGGTAGAAAAGACTTGGGTGGATCCGAATCCTGCCCAAACCAAGCATTGGAGACCGACCCATTTGGTGAGATAAATTTCCTATCTCAGTACTTTGGAAGCTTGTTGGGCATTTGAGTTGGATAGGAAAGATAAAGTTGAGATGTTGAACGGTTGGGATTAGTCTAGGATGTATCTCTAGAGTGTAGAATCATGAGAATGACTGGATATTAACCCCTGGATGTCATCACTTGGACTTGGGAGGCTGTGCCTGTTTTAAGGCATTATTACCAATTAGGGTTAGATGGTCCTTTGGAAATTCAACTTGAAGAATAGATTAATATTAACATATGACTACTTGTGTAAATGAAGTTTGTTTAAAAAAAAAAATTGAGAACATTCCAAGGAGACGGCAAATTTTTTGAATGAGGTTGTTATTGTATGTACCTAACTTCACTCCCCCAGTGGCCAAAGTCTGCCTCGGAATGAGTTGAGTACTTTGAGTGGAGTCACCAGGCAAAGCTTTAATTAGACTGTTTTCTTTCAATAAACAAGTGGTAAGACCTTGGTCTTGATGCTTGATAGTCTTACCAAGTTGTTTTCACTCACTGGATGATTCTTCTCACTAACTCCTGTTGTTTGGTTGGGATGGGTCATAGGCTCATAGCCTTATAGGTGGGGGGAGTAATAGGTCTCAACTGAACCTGGTGGAGATGTCAATTAAGCATGGAAAGCTTCTCTCTTTTCAAAGGTCAAATAGTTCCTTAACATGCCTGTTATGAGATGTATTTGCCCATTGTATTAGTGGCTTAGAATTAGTCTAGTTTGATTTCACAGAGCTTTTCTTGGTGGGCAGGTAAATGGGCTATAAGTCTAATACCTAAAAGCTTGATTAACTGAATACGCCCAAAAATAAAGGTGGGTTAGGTGGTAGAGCCTTACAGATGAGACAATTGAATCCTGCAGGGATAGTAGAATTTTCTTTGGAGCTTTTGGGCTTCCAAAATCCTAACCAGAGAAAAAGAAGAAGAAAAATCAAAACAAAACTCTTGCGGTCTTTGTACTGAAATAAAAAAAAACATCTAACACGTCAACATTGCAAGGAAGAAAAACCAAACAGAAGAAAAAATAGTGAAGTTTCATACAACTTTTTTAAATCAAAATCCATGGGAGATATCTCTTTGGGTTTGGCGTGGTATCCCTTAAAGCAAAAACCTAAGACCTAAGTCCTAATCAAAGGTATTAGGTGGAGGGTCATAAAGGGAAGAAAGATCCATCTTTGGCTTGTTAAACAGACAAGCATCCTCTCATTCAACCAATCTATTCCTCTCGACCTCTGCCTTGGCGATTTAGGGAAATTGGATGTAGGCCCATAATTAAATTAACATCTTTCTATGAATTAAAATTAGGATTCATGTATCTGATCCCATATGGTTGGGATAAGGTTTGGACGATGATAATATTAAATAAATTGTATTTAAGAAGAAATTAGATATTTAAATTTAACTTAAAAATAAGAAAAATTAATATGAATATATATAGAAATTTATCTAATATATAATACCAAAAAATAATAATTAATAAAAATGATGAAAATTAATACAAATTTACAAGACAATTCATAAATCCAAAGATAATGCCTAGGGTGGATTCAATTAGGCTTGAAACTGGAAGACTCTTTTTGTCTTAATTTCTTTTAACAAAGCCCATATGGGATTAATTTGCAATTCTGACTTCTGAGGTAACTCACCTCCACCTCTTCCGATTTTTGCTTATTAGTTATATTTTTGTTTGTTTCTCTTTGTAAATTACATTAAGGCTTTTTATTAACACAAATAAATATATACAGTATAAATACAAAGGTTTACAATGCAATGTATAAGGTTTTGCACTCTTACCGAACGGACTATGAAGTATTATAGCATAGTTTGAGATGGGTGTAAATAAAATATGCATAATACAAAATCTTGTATATAATTATTTGTATTTTTCATCCTTGGATATAAAATTTGTATTATAAATATTTGTCTTTTCATTAAATTGAAGAGATAGGATACACAATTTTCCGTGTAAAGGGAAAGAGATGATGATCGAAATTCGTTCAGTCTCAAAAACTTTACAGAGACTTCTCAATGCAGCCAAAGTGACTGGATAACCCACTGAGAGTGATGCGATATTCCATTTTGGATTTGGCATATTTCCAAAGAATGATGAGAGGTTGGACTTGATTTCTCTTGACCTTAGAGAACGTTGGCCATGACATATGGTGGTGGTGTGGCTTGACATCACTAAGACGATGGACACAGCTTTCAACATCGATCCTACGGCCAAAGGCAAACCGCAAAAGAAAGTGAAACTTTATATAGGTCAGATGGTACCTCCTAGCTAGAGCAATATTTTCAGAGTATAAATGTTAGTTTTGAATAGACCTTCCAACCAAACACAAGAAAAATAGGGCGGGTCCATATATATAGCAGAATAATTTACTATAAAGTAGATTGAGAGACACATAAAAGAAAAAGGGGTTAATGAAATCATCATCTCAGATGAGATGATCGATAGTGGGTGCTTTAATTATTCTAGATTAAGTGAGAAAAACATGTGTTGGTAGAAGATGACTTAAAGTTGATAATGGAAAAACGACATCAACCCATTGAGCCTTTAGATGGATAATCCGGAAATCATTTGGTAATTGAATCTGAAAAGAAAGAAAGAAAATCTTACAGTTGTCTTTTGGGTTGATCTGAGAAATATTTGTTGTTACGTTATATATGAGTGTTGTCATTTTAATTACAAATATATATATATGTGTATGATTAATCATTTGAAACGTTAAATTTGTGGTTTTAGGTAGAAATAACACTTTGTATTGATCAATTCGAAACATTTTCATAATTTTTCATGTAGAAAAATCTCTCCACATAAATTTGTATTAATCAATTCAAGATGCAACTGCAATAGGACACTGTACTGTACAACACACCCTCTAATGGCATAGATGAATGGTGGATGGTTCGCGATACCTACACTTTTCTAGTAAGGATCATTATCATGGTTGCTTGTTTTGGTACCAAATGCCAATCATTCTCGATGGGTATAAAGGGGGCCACCTCTCTCTTCTAGTATATTGTTTTCTCTGATTTTCTCTTTCACTAAGGTTATGTTTGGTTTGAAGGAAAAAGTAGGGAAAGGAAAGAAAGGTAAGAAAACCTTTACAAACCTTGTATAGGTTTTGATACCTTCCCCTTCCTTTACCTACATTTTCCTTCAAACCAAACATAGCATAAAACAAAGGCATTGCTGCAAATTGGAAAAAAAAGGGAAAAAAGTAGTTATTGTCTGTTGGACTGGAAAAATAGAGTCCCTCCCATTGCTTTTTACGAGCTCTTATTGGCTAATGCCACTGTTACAACCAGCTAGAAATCAGTGGAAAGGAGCATATGTAGGATTTCCATTTCCATAATTATACTAGAGATATTAATATGGAAAAGCAAGGAAAAAAGAATAATAAAAAATACTTTTCCTTTTGATAATGAATAGAAAAATACTTGGAAGATGTTTTACATCAGTTCATGATTATATTTAAATTCCCATCCCCTACCTGAAAAACGGAAGAAAGTCACCTTTCCATTAGGACTGTGAATCGATCAAATCAAATCGAGTATAGGTAGATCCAAGTTTAATTCACTTATATTTTAATTTGAATCAGATCTTACCCATCAAATTTATATGGACTCAATTTAAATTTGGATTGCAATTGAATATTGAATCGTATTAATAATTTAAAGAGAAAATTCCCGATTAATACCCTGTAGTCTAGTGCCGCTTTGGACCCTTAAATTTAAAATGCGATAGTTCAGTACTCGAATTTTCAAAACATGTCAAAATCCAGTATCTATTGTTAACCAGTCATTAAATGGCATTTGAAAAAGACACAAATGCCCTTCAAGTGTTATCTAAATTTCTTTATCAGCCATTCAAACATTGACAAAAAATTAACAATCCCAAATCCTTGTTTCTTCTATTCAAGAAAGTTGGGGTTATGTCTTAATAGATGTTCTGGGCTCCAACTTTCTTAAATAAAAGAGTTAAGGATTTAAGAYTGTTAATTTTTTGTCAGCGTTTGAATGGTTGATAAAAAAAATTATATGACACTTGAAGAATATTTGTCTTTTTCAAATGTCATTTAACGACTGGTTAACGATAGATACTGGATTGACACGTTTTAAAAATTTGAATACTGAATTGTCGCATTTTAAATTTCGGGAACTAAAATGGCACTAGACTACAGGCTACTAATTGGCAATTTTCCCTAATTTGAAAGTTCGAATACTGAATTCTCCAACTTTCAATTGGACTAAATTTAAAGATTTA